GAAAGAGAACCCAGCTCCTTGGAAGGTGAGAACTTCCTGGACACTATGAGCAATGCCCCCAAATTTAGAGACAATTTGGGCAACCTGGTTAAGTGATTTCCCTCTTGCAACATTCAGTCATGTGGGTGCTGGCGTCAGCAGTGGGGTGGCTTGGGGGCAGGGGAGGCTGGCTTGCTCGCTCCAGGCTCAGCATCTATCCACTGCCCACTCCTGGCTCCTGGCTCCTGGCTCCTGTTTGGCTTCCTTCCTCCTCACCGCACTGTCAGCAAGGCACACCTGAGCCTGGAGGGCTTCCCTGTCCGGCCTCAGCCCTCACCAGGGGGCTGCACTGTCTGCAGGCAGGGATGAGGCAGGTCAGCCCTGGAGCCTGGGTCATGCTGGGCACTCAGCAGCTGTACCCATGCCACCTCACCTGCCCGCGTTCTTCACGAAGCCCAGGTCAGCCAGCTCCACCTCACACAGCTCGCAGCGGAAGCACGCTGGGTGCCAGTTGTTGTTCATGGCCTTGATGACTCGGCCAACGATGAACTCACCTGGAAGAGGAGAGGTCCCGACTGGCCCGGCAGGGCTGTCCTCCCGTCCAGAGCCCTCCCAGCTGTGTCCACGCCAGCACTCCCCCGCCCACAGCTTGGAAGCTGGTGCTGACTGGGGGCCTGAGGCTGATGCTCAGAGAGAGAGGGCAGGTCAGTCAGGGAAGACCCCAGTGCCAGGTCAGTCCTGAGTAACCGCGGTGCCCCGCCCAGCCATTTCCTGGGCAGCCCCGGGCATGTGCTTTGTTGCCATCGCTTACCACAGGAGCCGCAGCACGGAGCAAACAGCATTTGGAAGTCGTGTTCGCAGTACTTCCGGCCTTCGAACTGCAAACAGGGCCGCAGGAAGAGAACAAGCAAGCCACCCATCATTCTAACTGCTGCCCTGGACCTCTGTCGGTTCAGGGCCTGATGGTAGAGACCAGTACTAAGGAGAGGGCACTCTGGGCAGGGACATCCAGAGGAAACAGGCTAGTTCCCTACAGTGGGCGCAAAGTGAGAGCCTGGGTGGAAGCTGGAGAGGTCAACAGGCCAGCTCCTAAGGGGCTGCTGCTGCACGCTAAGATCCCGGGAGCAGGCAGGCGGAGATCATGCTTGAATGGTGTGTGTCACTCTGCCCCGTTTCCTGTGCCTCCTCTGAGATAGTCCAGCTCCCAGAGGCCTCAGAAGACCAGGAGAGAAAGACAGGAGGGGTGTGGGGCTGGCGGCCAGGGAGCATCCCCAAGCCCTGCATCCAGCAGGAGCCAGTCAGTGTGGACACCTGTGGGGCTGCCGCTGCCCACAAGTAAGTGAGGGCCCTCGCACTGGCTCCCAAGCATGGCTAAAGCCTGTTTCTACCTTCCTCTCCCTTCATAATTTTATTTTCAGTTTTTAAATTTTGGATTTTTTCCTGTTCTCTAAAATGAATGTCCTATTAAGTTTTATCTAAATAGAGCCTAAACCGGTGTCCAATAGAAGCAGCAAAGGTTTAAATTAACAATGAATCTCTCTCTCTCTCTCTCTCTCTCTCTCTCTCTCTCGGGAGCAGCACACAACGTGACGGTTGCGTCACTGGATTCCCATGTAATGGACCTACAGTTCCAGTCCCAGATCTGGCGGCTTAAAGCTCACCCCGGGGGCATGTGTGTGCACGCCCAAAATCCCAAGAGGCGGCTGGAGGAGAAAGGATTACAACGTGGCCAACCCCCAGGAGGTTATTTCTCACTTTCTATATCTTTGTCTCTCTGGTGAGCGTACACATCCTTATAGCCAAAAATCTCTCTCAAACAAAATGTAAAACAGTGAATGTCTCCTGAGCACCTGCTGTAAGCCGGGAGGCTGGAAGGTGTGAGGAATGGCTGCTCGGCTCTGCTGAGCAGCTCACACAGCTCATACCCATCCACCACTGAGCCCAGCAGTGCTACCTGACAAACGTCCTGCACCTGAGCTCTGGTCACCGTCTCACTGCAGCCCCATGGCATGCTGGGAGACATGTAACAACCAGCTCTCTGTAATGGGCAAGCAAGCCCCGATTCATAGTGTTTGCCAATTTCTTTTCTTTTTTTAATTTTTAAAAAAGTCCTTAAATTCACCATATAGCACAGCATGTGCATTCACCAGTGAGACAAAGAGAGAGAGAGAGAAGGAAACTGAGAGATCCCCTTCTAGGCGGATGGCCACACCACAATCCCTCCTCCTCATTTTTCTTCTAGAGATTTTGGGCACACATGCACATACACCCAGCATATTTTTCAAGCCAGTCAGGCATGTGGGGTCCAGCCTGCTGACCCACCATGCCACCAGCTGGCCTCAGTGTTTGCCAGTTTCCATGGTGTAAATATTCCTGCCATAACCCATTTCAAGCTGCAAACAGGACATCGAGGTGGAGTTCAGAACTGCAGCAGTACCATACAGATTCAGTGGATCAAAATAACCTCAGAGGCAGAGATGACAGTAAGATGTAACAAAATAATTAGGAAGTGGCAAGTTCTAAGTTTCTGTTACTTTTGTTTTTAATAAATTTCTTCTTGGTGTACATCTATGTGATTAATTTTTCATAATAGCTGTGCTTGACCACCAGCTTACAAGATTGTCGATTGAACGACCTGCTCTGGGAGCCAGCATGGGCCACACCAGTCCTTTCTCTTGCATCTGGACTACTGCAACACTAGCTCTTGGTCCCACTAGTCTCCCAGCTTCTGTCCCTGACCCCTCACAGTCTCTCCTCAGCACAGCGACCAGAGATCCTTTTCAAAGGGCGGGCAGTGTGGTTTCTCTTCCACATCCCAGAGCACCTCCTGTCTCTCGCAGAAAGGAAGCAAAATGAGATCTGCCCCACCCTGTGTCCTGCCACTTTCCCTCTCGCTCCCTCTGCTCCCTCACACTGGTCTCCTTGCCATTCTCCGAATGCCCTAGCACCCTCCTGCTGCAGGGCCTTCGCACCCACCGTGCCCTCTGCTAGTGCTCTTCCTGCAGATATGTCTGCCCTCCTTCAGGCCCACTCACACATTGCTGTCCCTGACCACCCACCTCCCACCCTGAGATTCCTTACCACCAGGGCCTTGGCAGTATCTCGTGTACTGTCTGACCCGGCAGACGAGGGCAGTCTTCTCATTCCAGGGCCTGCCCACAGGAGGCTGAATGCAGGCCGCCCTCCCTCAACACCCACAGCAACCAGGTAGGGCAGGGCCCACAGGTGCTGCACACTGGGCAGGACCTCGACCCAGGGTCTGGCTCCTGGAGGGCAGGTTCTGAGTAGGGCCACGCAGCAGCTTGGCCAACAGTTCCTGGCACTCACCACCCCTAACATCCTCACCTCATAGAAGAGCCCCTCGGGGAATGGCCGGAAGCACTGGGCACACACGAAGCAGTGCTCATGGTAGAGCTCCCCGCCACTGTTGACGATGCGCTCGGTGGGGGCGAAGCGGGCCTGGCAGCGCTGGCACTCAGCATTGGCCAGGGCATCGGACATGTTGCTGCAGGGGAGGGGAGAGAAGGACTCCAGTCAGGATTGGGAAGACAGACAGGCCAAGCTCAGGGTTGCAGTTGGCACAATACCCCTTCCTGAAGAAGTAAAAGGACTGGGGTTCGGCAGGTGGCGAATCACCCTCATCACCACCGATGACAGCCTTGGTGCTTGTGGGCGCTCAGCAGCACATGGGCAGGGCCAAATTGTCCAGCGCTGGCTGGGCCCTGGCACAGCCGCTGTGGTGGGGGCCTGCCGGTGCCAGCTTGGGCCCAGGTGCCATGAGCACCCCTGACAGCCACAGATGACCCAGCTGAGCCGGACAGAGAGCACCTGCCCGAGGTCCACAGTGGGCAGAGGCAGAGCCTAGATCAGAAAACCCTACGCACGGTGGTCAGAGGCAAGGCTGGGCCACAACCAGGCACAGCTGGTCTAAGAGCAACCAGGGCCGAATCCGGGGCTCTCACCCATGGGCAGCCTGGGCCAGAACCTCGCTCTCCAGGCCAGGCCGCAGCTGCGGGAGAGCCATGGTCATTGCCAAGGCATAGTTACAGGCAGGGAGATGATGGCCACACAAAGCACCAGGCAGCAACCTGGCCCACAGAAAGGTCCCACAAGGGACAGCACTGTAATGAAGATCACTTGCTGCTTGATCTTCGTGGTGCTGGGCCATCCTTTGGGGCCTCAGAACTCTCCTGCACTCTTGTCGCCCCTTCCTCAGAGGACTAGGGTCTCTCAGGTACAGAGCATTCTATCACCCAGGCACAGGGGAGTGGCTCTGTACACTTACTTAACCCCCAAAGCAACCCCGCAGCGTCTATTGTTATCACTGTGTTCCAAGGAGGTGCTAAGACTCAGAGAGGTTATGTAACCCCCTGAGCTCACACAGCAGGTGGCAGTCCAGATTTGAAACCATAATGGTCAGTCTTCAGAGGTTCTTTCTTCCATACTATGAGTTACTTTCATTTCGTTTCTTTTCTTTTTTTTTTTTTTTTTGAGAGAGATTTTGCTATAGGGCACATGTGCTCACTGGAGAGATAGAGATAGAAAGCAAGGAATCACCCCACCCCACCCTACCCCCCACACCAAGGGGGATGGCCACGCTGTAATCCCTTCTTTTCCATTCTCCTCTTGTGATTTGGAGCACACATACACACGCGCCTGGTGTGAGTTTCAAGCCTCCAGGTCCAAGACTCGAACCAGAGTTGAACATGTGGGAGTCCAGCGACATAACCGCTATGCCATCTGCTGGTCCCAAGTTCATTTCTAATCAACTCCTCCCACCACCCCCCTATGATCCCCCCAATATGTAATCCCAGAGAAGGCAACACTGTAATTCTGGAGCGGTGGAACAGAGGCTAATCTCATCCATACTGGGGCACTGCCTGTCCCAGGGAAGTGGTGGCTTCCTCCCAGGAGGCTGGGGTCCAACCTGAACTCAGGAGAAAAACATCCAGCAGGCCACACTCACTCCTGCCCAGGGCTCTGGGGTGTAGCCAGGAGGGCACCGTCAGACTCAAAAGTGTGGATGGGGGGCTGGATAACACAAAAGAAGTCAAACATGGCACTGTGAGGCTAAGCCACACAGAAGGTTCCATGTTCGAATCCAGAGACCTCCATGAGTACACCCATGGTTGAAGCTGGGGGGGGGATTACAGCAATGAGACCCTGTCAGGAGTGCTGTATCTCTTGTATGCTCGCTCATGGAAAACATAGACAAATAAATTACATATACAGTTAAGACATAGCCAAAGCCCCTTGCTTTCTGTCTCTCTCAATGAGCACATGCGTCCTATAGCAAAAATTTCTCCCCCTAAAAAAAAGGCTAACTGCCTCTACAACCTTCCCAGACCCTGATGGGCACAGCTTTTACTAGAAGGGCAGCAAATTGTTCAAGTATCAGCTCCACCTGATGGAGGCTTGGTGGTGGCGACCTGGAGGGCTGGGCAAAGAGGGCTAGTCAGGCTCTATGAGTGCAGGGCGCAAGCTCTCCACCTTTGAGAATACCTTTTCCACCTGTTCTGCCTCCGAGACTGAATCCCTGCCCGGCACTGTAAGAAGGCCGGAGAGACTGTGGCTCCTGTAGGGACGTTCTCCTGTGGCCTGTAGGACTGGCAGGGCAGCCCAAGGGTGTCAGCAGCAAGAAGGTGGGGTGAGCCCAGACTGTGGGGGACAGGGGGACTCTCTCCAGGTCTGGGTGGGGCCACAAGTGGTGGGTCTTCCAGAGAGCTGCTGCCACGCAGAGACAGACCGGAAACTGGGAAGGGGCGCCCTGGCAGATGTCCTCGCTTCCCTGCTCGGGGACCTATGTGGCAGGGGCAGAGCTTAGAGGCCATTCGGCAAGCCTCGCCAGGCAAGTTGAGTCTCTGCAAACCCTGGGTGTTCTGGGGACCAATGACGCCTCCTGTATCCATATTTAGGCCAAGGGACAGTGACAGTGGGAGATGAGAAGAGCCCAAGATTAAAGGGAGGTTTGGTGCCAGCAGCCACTGCCCAGCACTCCCCAGCTGCCTGAGGGTCTCCAGGAGGGGAGGTGGGCCAGGCAGGTGGTCAGGGACAGTTTCATTAGGACAGTCATAGTTTCCTTCCAGTGGACACCCAGGGTCTTCTCTCCCAGAGCCCACACCCAAGGTGGCAGGGAGTATGTTCCAATGCCTGACTGTGAGCAGGACCCTGTGAATCTTGGAGGGATCGGAAATCAACAGGAAATCCTGACTGTGGGCCTGGAATTCCCCACTCCAAGGACCTAGAAAAGGAAACCAAGTTAAGGATTCTAGATCAGCCCCAGCCTTTCAGATTGTGCCTTAAAGCCAGACCTCTGGACCTTACCCAGGTGAGCATGGCATTGTGGGTTTGCATATACCCTCCAAAATTCACGTGTGGAGATTTGGCTATGATGGGACCAAGGGGGTAAAAAGTTGATCCAGTTTGGTGTTGTAAGGTGGAGCCTTTGGGAGTAAGTGATTGGGGTGGGCCCCATGACTGAATCCTGGAGGGGTTATAGAGAAGAGATAGACAGATGCACTGACATGGCCACTTTGCTAGGCTTTCATACTCTGAAATGACACCTCAGGACTCTGAAAGATCCTACCTGCTGTGGCCCCTGGAACTCAGACCTCCAAACTGTGAACTGAATAAACATCTGTTTTAATAAACCACCCAGATTTAGATATTTTCAGTTATTAGCAAGAGGACAGACCAGAACGTTGACCCATCTTCCATGTGCCTCTCAAGATGCCCTCCAAACCTATGCTCTGCCCGGGCCTGATGTTGAGGGCCTGCACCCACAGGCCCCACCCTCTGGTTCCTGGTCAGGCTGCCCCAGCTCCCAGTGCTGACTGCTGGGTGCTGGGCCTCCGTGCCCTCCCTGTTACTGTGGCTCTGCATCGCCAGCCCAGGTGCTTATCTTCCTTTCACCTCCACTCTCATGTGTAGACCTGTTAAACCCTTGCCAAATATAAGGAGTGAGTTCCACAGAGACCGTAGCGCATCCCAACCTCCCTTCTTTCTCTCTTCCTGCCCATCTTCAAGGTGGTACTCAGCAGCTGGCACCCACCTCGAGGGGCTGGCCCTTACTGGACTATGTCTAGTTACCTGGCTGGGTCTCCATGCATCTCAGGTTGGATATTTCAGTGTCTGTCCCCTGTGTGCCTCAAATAAGACTAGGCCAGGCAGGTGGGCAGTGAGTGACTCCCTCCTCCCATGCTCACTGGCTGCCCCAGCCAAGGTCTCAGGCAACAGGACTCCATGGCAGCTCCATGAGAGTCACTGGGGCTGCATCTCCTGCTCAGGAACACAGACTATTCTAGCCTGCTGACAGATAGGGACGGCAGCATCCGAATGACCAGAGAGCTGGGCGGCAATGCATGGCACATGGGCAGGGCTTGGGCCTCCTGCCAGCTCAACTCTTGCTACTGGTCAGCAGCCATGGGATCAGGAAAAGCAAACTGACTTCTCAGCCTCCTTCGCCTTCTGTCATGGTGCACCAGAGCGCCCGTGAAAAGGAGTCGCATTAAGCACCCAAATCCAGAGCACAGAGCACAGGGCCAGGCAGTCAGGGCACTGGATAAAGAAAGCTATTGTTTTCCAGCAGCTCTGGGTGCCTTCCAGAGGCGGCTGCCATGGCCGGTCCCTGGAAGGGAAAAAGGTCAGAGACAGGGACATTCCACATCCTCCTTTGCACATTCCAGCCAAGCACAAGGGGCACAAGGTCTGCCCGGCTCGGCTTGTCCCCTACCAGCAGACCACACCACTGAGCCGCAGGGCTGCGGAAGTGCACACCACCTTACACCCCTTCCCCAGCACCCCAAAAAGCCCTCAGTCTTGACCAGTCAGTACAAGTCAATTTGAGGCAAGATGTTCCTGAGCTTTGCAGCGATAGCTAGCCCGGGACAGATGGGGGAAAGGAGGTGCCCTCTCTGTGTCAGGCCCCTGGGAGAGAAGGCTGCTGGTTTCAAATAAGGAAGCTGAAGCACAGAGAGGGTCAGTTACCTGCTAAGATCACACAGTGATCTAAGCTCCCATGGTATCAAACAGGCACAGCCACTCCAGGCACTACTTCTACAACTACCCCAGAGCTTCCTCCATCTGAGCCGCCCACCCACTTGAGCCTAGGAAGACTGAGAGCCTGGGAAGAGGCAGGAGCCAGCCACAGGGAGGCGGACCATACATGAGATGAGCCTGTGTTACTGAGGCCATGTCCGCCTGGGCAGCAGTCAGGCCAACAGTGTGTGATGTACCCCAGGCAGACCAGCACAATCCTGGCTCAACACTCCCTGGCTGTGTGACCTGCAGCCTCAGCCTCCTCATCTGTAAAATGGTTGAGCAACAGCTACCTCCAAGGGTTGCTGGAAGACTCAGTGAGGTGGCGCCTGCAAGCCCATGCTTCACAGCAGCAGCCAACAGCATTCCTTACTGCCTCAAGCAGCAGCTCTTTACTGAGCATGCCACGCTGGGCCAAGTACTGTGCCAGGGGAGGGGGCAGCATTGCACCTTGGCCTCCAGAGCTGCTGATTCCCAGCACTGCTGGGCCTCCTCCCACCAACCTCCATGAGCCCAATCAGACGTAGATCACGGATCACCTGGATGCCTCAGCCAATAGGAATCTATACAAAGCCAGCCCTATACCCCACCTAGGGACAATAGAAAATCACCAGGCTGCCTTGGGGTGCTATCCACATGATGTATCTACACCATCGAACACATTCCATATCCACACCAAACCCTGGCCGTGCCTCCTAGCTCTAGCAGCTTTGTTTACCTTTAAGCAGGTAAAATTTTTTTTTAATTTATTTTGCCAGCAGGTATATGTTCTCATCAGAGACAGAAAGAGAAGAGAGAAGGGGTCATGCTGCAATCCCTTCTCCATTTCTCTGTCCCATCAGGATTTTGAGCACACACGCACACACACACACACACACACACACACAAACCCAGCAGGTTTTTTAAGTCACCAGGCCAAGACTCGAATGATGGTCAACCATGTGGGATCAGCTTCCTTAACTACCAGGTCATGAAGCCAGCCTTAAACTGTTATGATTTAAATGAGATGCACTGACATAGGGAACTAGTAAAAGGAGTGAACCAGACGTTCACAGAAAAACAAACCGAATGGCCTATGCACATACACGCATGAGCAGGACCCCCCTGAGACCTCGTCCCAATTCCCAGCCTGTGCCCTGTCCATGCAGGATACCCTGGCCACACTCCTGGTTTGCATCTCCACATGGCCTCTGGACATCAGTGCCATGGCCATTCATATCCTGGGACCACAGTTCACACAACAGGCGTCCAGGGTCACCCAGAGGCTGACTAGTGAGACTCCCATTCCAGCTTTGCCAGGCTCGGGAGAGTTACCTGGTCTCCTGAGCCCCAGGTTCTGTACCTGAAAAATAGACCCATCAGCCTCCATCCTGGTATGTGTGGACCGGCAACACCAGTGCGTGTCTGAGCCCTGTGGGCAGCAGGTCCCGGCAGATGGCTGCTCTGCCAGGTAGTTCCCGCTTCCTACCAGGTACCTCCCTCCTCCTCTGGTTTTAGCAGGACCTTGGATGGCTCAGCCTTCTAATTCCCCCTCCTGTGGGAGTCATTCTGGAGCACACACTGTCCGTATTCTCACTGTGCAGCATCAGCCCCGCACTACCCTGCCTCTCTGGGCCCTCCAGGCCCTCCCTACCTCTGAGACTGCCACTCTTGCCTCCCTCCTAGCTGCCAGCCTCTTCTCCAGCCCTGGCCTCCCCGGGACAATCACTCTGATGCCCCAACTTTCTATTAGCTGTTTCCACCCAAATGGCCCCTGAGAAACTGCAAACCTCCCCTGCCCCTGACTCCCCTACAGTCCAAGCAAGGCCCCCTCCACCCTCCTACCCTCCCCACTCCAGGCTAACTTATACTCTGAGATGTTCTGAGGTCCATCATGAACAGCTGGCCCTGCCTCCCAGCCCCAAAGGAGTCACCTACACTGGCAGGCCTCCAAGGGATGGAGTATTAACAGTTTGGGCTTTAGAGTGGGTCCAAACAGGATTCATTCACATGCCAGCTTGGTCACGTCTGTCTGGGTGACATCCAGCAAGCGCCTGGACCACTGTGAGCCTCAGTTTGCTCAGTCATAGCTGCAGAAAAATCTCCCCCGTCTGAATGCAGCGGTGGGGTGACAACCCATAAAACTCTGTCGCACCCTGAACTCTTCCATCCTACCTAAGAAAGCTGATCACAGGTAACCACAGCCCCAACTAGACTAAGTATCACCCCACCCTGGCTGTCCTGCACCCTCCTTGGGTGGCCGGGGCCCATGGCCGTCGGAAGGCCCGGGCGGGGTTTCCGAGGGAAGGTCTGCAGCTGCAGCTTTCCGGCAATTGTCCCAGACTCCCCCGCCCAGCCTCCTGCCACCTACCCGGGCGCGGCAGGGGGCGGGGGCTGGCCGCGGGCGGGGCCC